TGTCCAAGATAGGCAAATTTACAGAGAAACAATGTAGATCAGTGGATGACTAGGTTTGGGGTGATAAAGCTTGGGTGGAAATGGGGAGTGACTGCTAATGGGTATGAGGTTTCTTTTCGGGCTGATGAAAATATTCTAAAATTGATTGTGGTGATGGTTGCACAATTCTTACTAAAAACCATTGAACTGTATACACAAGTAGGTGAATTGTGTGGTATGTGAATTATATCTTAATAAAGCTGTCAAAAAAGTAAATCTATACATGTGATAAAATTGCATAATATACTACACACACACACACACACACACATACCACACAAATGAGTATGTGTGAAAACTGGTGAAATCTGAATAAGATCTATAGACTGTATCAATGTCAATTTCCCTGTTTTTATGGTATACTACAGTAAAGTAAAATGTTGTCATTGGGGGAAGCTAGTTGAAGGGTACACGTGATCTCTCTGTACTATTTTTGCAACTTTGTTGAGTCTATAATTAATTTAAAAAATTAAGTGGATGGAAAAAGATATACAATGCTAAAACTAATAAAAATGAAGCTGGATATTAATATCACAGTAGAATTCAGAGGAAAAGTTATTACCAGGGATAAAGCAAGTCACTTAATAATGATAAAGAGATCAGTTCAGCTAGACATTCATACTTTTTTTTTTAGAGACAGGGTCTTGCTCTGTTACCCAGGCTGGAGCTTCAGTGCAGTGGCATGATCATAGCTCACAGCCTTGAACTCCTGGGCTCAAGTGACCCTCCTGCCTCAGTCTCCCAAGTAGCTAGGACTTACAGAATCGCACCACCATGCCTGGCTAATTTTTCAATTTTTTGTAGAGACGGGATCTCCCTATATTGCCTAGGCTGGTCTCCAATTCCTGGGCTTGATCCTCCTGCCTCAGCCTCCCAGAGTGCTGGGATTACAAGTGTGAGCCACTGCACCTGGCCAAGGAAACTAATTTGAAGAATAGACGAATGCAGCCATATGTGAAGAATGTCCATTGGAATTAGCAACTAGGTGACCTTGATGAAAGCCAGTTTGGTGGAAAGGTAGAGATAAAAGCCAGACTAGTGAACTGGAAAGAAAATGAATAGAGCTACATTTATCACTGTATTGTTGAAGTCAAAATAAAAATGAAGAGATAAATCTCTAAATTTTTTTTTTTTTTGAGACAGGGTCTCACTGTTGCCTAGGCTAGAGTGCAGTGGCATCATTTAAGCTCACTGACTGCAATGTCAAACTCCTGGGCTCAAGCAATCCTCCTGTCTCTGCCTCCCAAGTAGCCAGGACTACTGGTGTGTGCCATGGTGCCCAGTTAATTTGTCTATCTTTTGTAGAGATGGGGTCTCTATTTTGCTTACACTGGTCTCAAACTCCTGACCTTAAGCAATCTTCCTGCTTCAGCTTCCCCAAGTGCTAGGATTACAGGTGTGAACCACTGTACCTGGCCCTAAATCTCTCAATGTAATGTTTTATTTGGGAAGAAGAATTGCAATTTGGGGCATACACATAGACTGGGTGGTTTTTGGTACGTCTGAACAACAGAAGTTAGAGGTTTTATAAAAGAGGAGAAAAGTTATGTACTGCTCTTTGGGAAAGTTAATTGGCATTAGTATTGTGAGTGACAGCAGTAGGCAAAATTAGTCCTAGAGTTGTAGCAGGTTATCTCAGAAGCTATAGATAAACTGGTTTATGTTACAATAAGCAGTTCAGCAGTCAGGCTTGCAGAGAATTACACACACTCTTGGAGAAATGTTTTGTACCCTGAGTCCTTTCCCCTCCTCGTTTCTCCACTGTTAGGTATGACAAGAATGACCCAATTTGCATGATCAAATTTCGTAATAGATAGATCTTGGAAACAAAGTTTAACTGAAAAGCAATTTGCAGGAAGGTATGTATCTATTGTACAAAATTAGTTTTCTGTTTAAAAAAATTTTTTTTTTTCTTTTTGAGACGGAGTCTCACTTTGTTGCCCAGCCAGAGTGAGTGCCGTGGCGTCAGCCTAGCTCACAACAACCTCAAACTCCTGGGCTCAAGCGGATCCTCCTACCTCAGCCTCCCGGGTAGCTGGGACTACAGGCACGTGCCACCACGCCCGGCTAATTTTTTCTCTATATATATTTTTAGTTGTCCAGATCATTTCTATTTTTTTTAGTAGAGATGGGGTCTTGCCCTTGCTCAGGCTGGTCTCGAACTCCTGACCTTGAGCGATCCACCCGCCTCGGCCTCCCATTTTCTTTTTACTATTAAAGACAGGGTCTCAACTCTGTCACCCAAGTTGGAATGCAGTGGTGAGATCCCAACTCACTGTAACCTTGAACTCCTGGCCTCAAGTGATCCTCTCACCTCAGCCCCCAAAAGTACTGGGATAATAGATGTGAATAGTGGCACCTGGCCTTATAGCTTTAAAACTTGCAGAACAGGCCGGGTGCAGTGGCTCACACCTATAATCCTAGAGGTGGGAGGATTGCTTGAGCTCAGGACACCAGCCTGAGCAAGAGAGAGACCCCCACTCTCTACTATAAATAGAAGGAGATTAGCCAAACAACTAAAAATAGAAAAAATTAGCCGGGCACGGTGGCACGTGCCTGTAGTCCCAGCTACCCCGGAGGCTGAGGTAGGAGGATCACTTGAGCCCAGGAGTTTGAGGTTGCTGTGAGCTAGGCTGACGCCATGGCACACTAGCCTAGGCAAGAGTGGGACTGTCTCTAAAAAAAAAAAAAACCAAAAACTTGCAGAACACTATTTGGATACATAACTATGTACAGGAATTATAAAACACCAGCTTGTTTTTTTTCTTTTTTTTTTTTTAGAATTGAAATAGAGAAGGTAGCATTTTTTTTTTTTTAAAGAGACAAGTCTCACTATATTGCCCAGGCTGGAGTGAAGTGGCTACTCACAGGCTTCACTACCATGTACAGCAAAATAAAAAATCAATTTTTTTTTTGTTTTTGTTTTTTTGAGACAGAGTCTCACTCTGTTGCCCAGGCTAGAGTGCTGTGGCATCAGCCTAGCTCAGAGCAACCTCAAACTCCTGGGCTCAAGCCATCCTCCTGCCTCACCTTCCCGGGTAGCTGGGACTACAGGCACGCGCCACCGTGCCCGGCTAATTTTTTTTTTCCTACTTTTAGTTGTTTGGCTAATTTCTTTCTATTTATAGTAGAGACATGGTCTTGCTCTTGCTCAGGCTGGTCTCGAACTCCTGAGCTCAAGCAATCCTCCCGCCTCGGCCTCCCAGAGTGCTAGGATTATAGGCGTGAGCCACCACACCCAGCCAAAAAAAAATCAATTTTTAAATGGTGAAAGCACCACAACTGGCACACTAGGATGTTTTTCATTAGACATCAGAAGGGTCATATAGTAAGTAACCTGTGCCAATAATTACATGTAGATTTTTAGCAAATACTTCTAATAATCCTGTTTTGGGAGTACAAGGTCTAATTTTACAGATGAGATCAGAGCGATTCCTTAGGCCTGAAGTGGCTCATGACTGTAATTCTAGCACTTTGGGAGGCCAAGGTGGCAAGATCACCTGAGGCAAGGAGTTGAAGACCAGTCTGAGCAACATAGCAAGGCCCCATTTCTAGCAATAATAAAACATTAGCCAGTTGTGGTGGCATGTGCCTGTAGTCTCAGCTACTCAGGAGGCTGAGGCAGGAGGATTGCTTGAACTCAGGAGTTTGAGGTTGTAGTGAGCTATGACACCACGGCACTCTAGCCAGGGTAACAGAACAAGACTCTCCAAAAAAAATAAATAAATAAAAGGTTTGCTCAAACTATGTATTCCCAAATCGGAGAACCAAAAATTTAATGATTCTGATGAGTTTGTTGCATTTCAAGTGTGGTAAAAAAAAAAGATTGAGGCAAAGGAATTAATGAATAGTAGAAGGGGGAACTAACTGATGTAGCAGGGTCCCTGATGTGGGAAGGAATACTAAAGTACTTACAGGTGACAGGAAAGGCCTTGAATAAGACATTTCTCTGAAATAGTAACCAAGAATTGGCAGTTTGTTAAGTCTTGTAGAAGAGTGAGGAAGTCACGAGTTAATATTCCTAAACTTCCTGATACAAGAATTACTTGGTTGACTTGATTTGGCTGCTAGGGGTCTGTCTTTAGCCCCATGAAACTTTTGTTCATCAAATGATCTAAACTGTCTACCTAAGGCCATCATTCTTAGCCAACCATCAGATATGTTTGTGTTTCCCCAATACAGCATACTACTTGTGGGAATAAAAAGGTCCTGCTTTTTAGTGGCTGTCTGTTAAGTCTTAATTATTCTTCCCATTTTTAAATTTCAGCCCTGTGCTTTCCCCCAAAGCATTTTCTGGCAATCCAAACTCAGGAACTTTTTCTTGGGATTCATATATAGCTATTTATATTTACCATAAACCAGCTAATTGTCTTCTTATGTTGTTTGCGTAAGACAGTCCTGGTTTTTAATTATTGTCCCAGCATAATCATGGCTACCCTAATGGTAACTTACTTTGCAGATTAATTTATATCTGTAGAAAGTTTACGCTATAGTCAAAATCTTCCTCTTCATGAAGTAGCTTTTCATCTTCTACAAATTGCAGCCTTTTCATCCACAGCCACCCCTCTCCAACCCTGTACTAATAAGCCTTTTTATGTGGAGATGTAACCAATGTGAACTCACAGAGGCCAGACAAGCCCCAGTGTTTTCAGGAAGATTGCAGTTCAGACAGGGCTGATTAGATACAGGAGATCCTGTATCTGCTAATGGTTAACATCTGGGAAAGAAAGTGGAAATGAGGAACTTTACAGTTAAGCTGTATTCTCTGCAGTAACAAGGTCCTAAAAGCCTAGCCTAACTTCTTACAAACAGCCTAGTACAACTTACAACAGGTGTGAAGTCTGACACTTTAAGTGGGGAATCTGTGGCACTAAATCTTTTCAACTAAACAACGTCTTAAGAGCAGATTAATAACTTACTAGAGCATTCAGTTTTTTGGTGGGAAGAGACCAAGCACCCAATGAGTTCATCCAACAAGAAGCCATAACTTTATTAATGATAGAAACAGTACAAATTTCAAACCAAGCTGCAGTTACTCTTTTGAAACACCAAAAAAAGTCCTTGTTTTCAGATGTTACATTGTTAATTCCTATAAGAGAAAAAAGATAATTAGAGATAGTTACAGGCAAATTCGGAGAATTCAGGTCACTAAAACCTAAGGCAACTCAGAATGGGCTTTAGAACAAGGCTTCCTAATTGGCTGGTATTAAGTAGAAGAAAAAAAGTCACTCATAATTGGTCAGGGCAGAGGGAGTTAAAGAATAAAGGGTTGGACACTTACCATAATAGCATTTACAATATCATTACTGTTGTTCTTCAGGGCTCGGACTGCCTTTGCTCTCGACACATTTGCTTGTGACATGACCAATTCTATGTCTTTAACTTCCACACCTGTTTCATCAACCTGGAAGTGAGGGAAAAAAACGTAATAAATAAATTAAAAAACTTCAGCAGTTCTTTGGAGCCAGAGTCTCTTGAATCTAGTTCTTAATTTAACTCAAAAACTGTATAACTCAATGGGGTTATATTGAACCTAGAACAATATAAAATTCACCAAACATACTGCTATAGAGAGAAAATTAAAAGTACAGATTACTATACTGCTTAACAGAACAGTTTTGAAATGGTTTGAGGCCTTGCCCTGCTCCATCCAGAGCAAGGTTATAGAAATTTTAGAAAACTGGTTGAGTGCCATGACTCACACTTTTAATCCTAATCCTAACACTTTGGGAGGCTCAGGTGGAAGGAGTGCTTGAGGCCAGGAGTGGAGACCAGCCTGAGCCACATAGCAAGATCCCGTCTCTAGGGCCGGGCGCGGTGGCTCACGCCTGTAATCTTAGCTCTCTGGGAGGTGGAGGCGGAGGCAGGTGGATTGTTTGAGCTCAGGAGTTCGAAACCAGCCTGAGCAAGAGCGAGACCCCGTCTCTACTAAAAATAGAAAGAAATTAATTGGACAACTAAAAACATATAGAAAAAATTAGCCGGGCATGGTGGCGCATGCCTGTAGTCCCAGCTACTCGGGAGGCTGAAGCAGGAGGATCGCTTGAGCCCAGGAGTTTGAGGTTGCTGTGAGCTAGGTTGACGCCACAGCACTCTAGCCCAGGCAACACAGTGAGACTCTGTCTCAGAAAGAAAAAAAAAAAGATCCCGTCTCTATAAAAAACACAAAAATTAGCTGAGAGTGGTGGTGCACATCTGTAGTCCCAGCTACTTGGCAGGCTGATGGAGGATGGCTTGAGCCCAGGCATTTGAGGTTGCAGTGAGCTATGATGATGCCACTGCACTCTACCTAGGGTGACAGTGCGACCTTGTCTCAAAAAACAGAGAAAAATTCTGGGCAATTAAAAAAAAATTTTCAGGCCGGGCACGGTGGTTCACACCTGTAATCCTAGCACTCTGGGAGGCCAAGGTGGGTGGATTGCTCAAGGTCAGAAGTTTGAGACCAGCCTGAGCAAGAGCGAGACCCCGTCTCTAACTGTAGTCCCAGCTACTCGGGAGGCTGAGGCAGGAGGATCACTTGAGCCCAGGAGTTTGAGGTTGCTGTGAGCTAGGCTGATGCCATGGCACTCTAGCACATAGCCAGACTCTGTCTCAAAAAAAAAAAAAAAAAAAAATCTCTAATATACCTCTTCCTCTTCACTCTCCTCTTGTACAGTTGGAGTCTGTGTGTTTTCTTGAATGTTTGAAACAGCTTCACCTTGAACTTTGAATTTCTCAGCAGCTGCTAGCTGTGCCTGCTGAGATAAATCCTCGATCTACAGGGCAGAGAACACAGATTCACATGAGACTACAGTAATTGAAAAATAAATCATATATATCGTTTCAAAACTCTCACTCTAAACCTACTTCAGGTAACTTACACATAACTTTAAACTGCTTGCCCTTACTCAGACCTATATATCACAGTAGAAAGAGAAGTAGCCTAGGTCTAGAGCAGTGGTTCTCAACTGGGGGGTAATTAGGTCTCCCAGGGCACATGAGGCAATGTCTGGAGATTCATTTTTTTGGTTATCACAAATGGATGCAATGCTGCTAAAACGCCCATAACGCACAGGATCGCCCTTCCACAGAAAGAATTAACTGACCCAACATATGTCAGTAGTTCTGACGCTGACAAACACTGGTCTAGAGCAACTTCCAAGAAAACTAGACTCACCTTGGCTTCCCCAAAAACTATGTAGGTATCTGAAGCTGGGCTCTTGTAGACATCTGGTTTTGTGATGACAAAGAGGATATTCTTAGATTTCCGGATAGTGACTCTAGTAACCCCTGTAACCTGTCGAAGACCCAGTTTGGACATAGCCTAAAGAATAGAAAAGATCAGGTTTTCAACTTCTTTAGAAGCAGCTTCAAGAAGCAAGGAACATAGTATCACATTCAAAGCAAAGCCTTTTTCAAGGCTAGGAAAAGTTTATAGAAGAATAGAGAATCAGTTTTTAGGATGCCTGAGTTTTCTGCCATAGTAACTTCTACTTTAACTAAACAGGATTCTACTACCACTAGAGTTCCACTACAGGTGTTCTGCTCTCTGAAGTCACTTCACAGAACCATTAATTCTTGTTTATAACTTAAAATCTTACCTTCCGTGCCTTCTTTTCACTCCGACTCTGTTTTGCTTTACTGACTGGTTCTTCATCGATTTCAGCTGCCGCCGCCAGCTAACAAGATAAAAACAGCTATGAGTTACCTGAAACTTAGGATCTGGATATCACAATCTCCATGTGGTTTTTCCTTTATGAAGGGCCACAGTTCCAAATAGAAGTCAGCTCCGATCGACCTTGCTTCCTTGACCCAAGTACCAGTTAATAAGAGAATACCCACCTGTGCTTGTTGTGTAGTTGCTTGTGTAGAATCTTGTTCCTCGAGTTCTGGTACTGATTCATCACTGTCAGATTCTGTTCCAGATCCTAAGATGACAAACATTTACTATTTTATAAGATTATAACGAAGGGGTACCTCACCATGGCTTGCCTGGACTAGGAGTCAATACCTTATGCTAGACCTAACAAAATTAATGTAAACCAACTGGCTTGTGTGAAGCCAGCTTAACATCCCCAACCTTAGTCACTAACTAGTGTGTATATTTATTAAAAACCCAGCCCCAGAAATGAGTGGTAATCACTAGACACAGCTGAGCAATTTATGTACTGTAACTGCTTTCTTTCCCTCAAGGTCTTCATTTCTTGGCAAAGGCAAATATCAATGACCCATGTAACTCTAAATTTTACCCAATAGCCCAACCATACCAGAAAAGTTCTGCCATAAGGTGTTTCTAGTAAGTGAAAAACAAAAAAAATCACATTGTGGAGGCAGAATAGGCATGGCATTTCCCCTAATCCTTTAAATTGGGTTAGAGGAGGCCAAAAGCAGCTGTGTACACCCATTGAGGCTTATTTTCAAACCACTCACCCCAGCAATCTGATCTAATTGATATAGCTGGAAGATTCTCGATGTTGACCCATAGCTCTAATAGTCACTTTCTCTACTGGATACTGTCCTGTGACTTCCCCCATTTCTTCCAAACATAACTCACATATTTTAAGTTTCCCTCAATCAAAAGGCCAAGCATCAATAAAGACTATTGAGAAAAAAGCAGCATATACCAGCACCATTCTCAGGCTAGGAAAAACAGGTCTCTACATTTTTAAGAAAAGGGAGTCCCTGGGCAACTGGTCATTACTACAAAGTGAAAAAGAAAGACAAATAGCTCCAGATTCCCCAATATTTTAGCAAATCCCAGGCCCAGGGACAAGGTTAGTGATGTGGTAGGGATTAGAGCAAATTAAAGGTATGGCATGTCTTGGTTTTCAATGTCAGATCACTTAGGTAAAAAAGATGGCAGACCCAGGGTTTAGTCTGGGCCACATTACACAGAATGATACACAAGTCTCTATCTGAGGTGATGAAAACCAAGATTCAGTTTCATATTCCTAGAGCTTTTGCATGTAAAATTATCATTCTAAGTTCTATGTCCAAACACAAGCAGGTACACTGGAGAAAGCGGCGCATCCTAGGGTTAGTATTGGTGGGTAGCCCCCAAGAGGGGTGTGGGCGACACACCATGCACACAGCAAACCAAGGCAAATACCCTTGTTGTTCTTCAGAACAGGCTGCTTGGCAGAGGGGGTTGGGGCAGGGATTCCAGCAGGTTTGGGGGTGGGCATGTTGACGAGGACCGACTGGAAAGGCACTCCCCCAGACACTGGTTCCGGGGGAATCAGAGGCGGCAGCTCATCCTCATCAGCAGGGACTAGGGGCTTAGAGAGTGATTCCAGCACCAGCCCAGGTGAGGACGGCAGAAATTGCTGTTTAGGAAGCAGAGGGGGAACTGGGGTGGGAGTAAGAGGCAGAGAGACTGGTGGGGTGGATGCTGGAGAGACAGATGCTGATACACCTTTGGGAAGGACCTTTTCAGAGGCAGCTGCTGCCAGAGGGGTAGATGCCTTAGACTCAGGAGGAGCCAAGGGGCTCTTTGGGGAACGAAGAGAATCTTTGCCTTTCCCAGGAGAAACAGGGAGAGCTTTTGCAGGCTTTGAAGAGCCTTTCTGAGTAGGGACTGTGAGTAGAGGGGCTGGAGCCACTGTGGAAAGGGATCCTTCAGTACCATTCTTAGCTGAGGGATCGGGGCACACAAGAGGTGAAGTAGCAGAACTCTTCTTGGCCTGTGTACCATTCTGAGTGGGAGCTGGGGCAACAAGTGCTTCTTTGACAGCTGTGGGTCCCTTCTTTGCTGGAAGCCCTTTAGGTGCTTGAGGGGCAACAGACTCCACGGTACATGTCACTGAAACTGGGGAAGTAGGGGAGTCTTTGGGGGAGGAAGAAGTCACAGGTGAGGAAGTAGGGGCCCCTTTGAGGACTGGAGTTGATGGAGTCTTTTGGGGGGATAGAGGAGCCATAGCTGGAGTAGGGGCCTCTTTGAGGGATGTGGAAACTGGGGTCCTTTTGGGTGAGGGAGAAGTCATGTCTGAGGGAATGGGGGCCTCTTTAGTGGATGGGGCCCCTTTGTGAGAGAGAGGAGTAAGGGCTGGGAGAGTGGGGGCCTCTTTGGATGAAGTCTCTTTGGGGCAGGGAGTCCTGGCTGGGGGAGTAGAGGCCCCTTTGGGGGCTGGGGTCTTTTTAGGGGAAGGAGAAGTCACGGCTGGGAGATTGGAGGCCCCTTTGGGGGCTGGAGTTGCTGGGGCCTCTTTGGAGGGAGGAGTCACTGCTGGGGGAGTGGTCTCCCCTTTGGATGGGGTAGCTGAGCCTCCTTTGGGAGCTGGGGTTGCTGAGGCTTTTTTGGGGGAAGGAGTCACTGCTGGGGGAATGGGATCCCCTTTGGAGGATGGGGATGCTATGCCTCCTTTGGGAGTTAGGGTTGCTGGGGCCTCTTTGGGGGAGGGAGGAGTCAATGCTGGGGGAGTGAGATCCCCTTTGGAGGGGGTTGCTGAGGCCTTTTTGGGGGAGGAAGGAGTCACCGCTGACAGAGTAGGATCCCCTTTGGAGGATGGGGTAGCTGGACCTCCTGGGACCTTTTTGGGGGGAGGAGGAACCCCTTTGGAGGATGGGGTAGCCGGGCCTCCTCTGGGAGCTTGAGTTGCTGGTGTTTTGGGGGAGGGAGGAGTCACTGCTGTGGGAGTGGGATCCCCTTTGGAAGATGGGGTATCTGGGCCTCCTTTGGATGCTGGGGCCTTTTTGGGCAAGGGTATAGTCGCTCCTGGGGGAGTGGGATCCCCTTTGGAAGATGGGGTTGCTGGGGACTTTTTGGGGGTGGGAGGAGTCACTGCTTGGGGAGTGGGATCCCCTTTGGAGAATTGGGTAGCTGGACCTCCTGGGACCTTTTTTGCAGGGGGAACCCCTTTGGAGGATGGGGTAGCTGGGCCTCCTTTGGATGCTGGGGACTTTTTTGGGGAGGGTGTAGTCACTCCTGGGGGAGTGGGATCCCCCTTGGAGGATGGGGTTGCTGGGGCCTCTTTGGGGGAGGGAGTTGTCACTGCTGGGGGAGTAGGATCCCCTTTGGAGGTTGGGGTAGCTGGGCCTCCTCTGGATGCTGGGGCCTTTTGGGGGGAGGGAGGAATCACTCCTGGGGGAGTGGGATCCCCTTTGGAGGATGAACTAGCTGGGCCTCCTTTGGGAACTGGGGTTGCTGGGGCCTCTTTGGGGGAGGGAGGAGTCACTCCTGGGGGAGTGGGATCCCCTTTGGAGGATGGAGTTGCTGGGGCCTTTTTGGGGGAGGGAGTCACTGCTGGGGGAGTGGGGTCCCCTTTGGAGGATGGGGTAGCTGGACCACCTTTGGGAGCTGGGGTCTCTTTGGGGGAGGGAGGAGTCACTGCTGGGGGAGTGGGATCCCCTTTGGAGGATGAGCTAGCCGGGCCTCCTTTGGGAGCTGGGGTCTTTTTGGGGGTGGGAGGAGTCACTCCTGGGGGAGTGGGATCCCCCTTGGAGGATGGGGTTGCTGGGGCCTCTTTGGGGGAGGGAGTAGTCACTGCTGGAGGAGTGGTATCCCCTTTGGAGGATGAGCTAGCTGGGCCTCCTTTGGGAGCTGGGGTCTTTTTGGGGGAGGGAAGAGTCACTCCTGGGGGAGCGGGATCCCCTTTGGGAGCTGGGGTTGCTAGGGCCTCTTTGGGGGAGGGAGTTGTCACTCCTGGGGGAGTGCGATCCCCTTTGGAGGATGGGGTTGCTGGGGCCTTTTTAGGGGAGGGAGGAGTCACTACTGGGGGAATGGGATCCCCTTTGGAAGATGGGATAGCTGGGCCTCCTTTGGGAACTGGGGTTGCTGGGGCCTCTTTGGGGGAGGGAGGAGTCACTCCTGGGGGAGTGTGATCCCTTTTGGAGGATGGAGTTGCTGGGGCCTTTTTGGGGGAGGGAGTCACTGCTGGGGGAGTGGGATCCCCTTTGGAGGATAGGGTAGTTGGACCACCTTTGGGAGCTGGGGTCTTTTTGGGGGAGGGAGGAATCACTCCTGGGGGAGTGTGATCCCTTTTGGAGGATGGGGTTGCTGGGGCCTTTTTAGGGGAGGGAGGAGTCACTACTGGGGGAGTGGGATCCCCTTTGGAAGATGGGATAGCTGGGCCTCCTTTGGGAACTGGGGTTGCTGTGGCTTTTTTTGGGGAGGGAAGAGTCACTGCTTGGGGAGTGGGGGTCCCTTTAGGGGAAGAAGGAGTCACTGCTGGGGGAATGGGGGCTCCTATAGCCTCTGCAGGGGAGGGTGTAGTCACAGCTGGAGAAGTAGGTGCCCTTTTGGGGGCTGGGGCCCTTTTAGAGGATGGGGTAGGTGGGCCCTCTTTGGGGGAGGGAGGCATCACAACTGAGGTAGTGGGAATCTCTTTGGGGGATAGGGTTATGCCTTTGGGAGAGGAAGGAGGGGCCCCTTTGGGGGATGGAGGAGTGGGAGAATTTTTCTTGGTTGGTGAGCCTTCAGGGCCTTGAAAAGAAAGACTGGCCACTGGAAGAAAGGAAGCTTCAACTGGACAAATAGGGGATGAAAGATTTCCAATAGAAGCATCAGGGATAGCAGAACCCTGCTTGGTTGGAGGTCTTTTAGTCTGAGACACATTAATCCCTAAAGGAGATGGGGAGTCAGCTAGGTAAGTCAGGGTTCCTTTGGAAGATGCAGTAACAGAAGCACCAGAGTCCTCAGTTAGGCATCCTTCAGGAGAGGAAGTGACAGATGGCAATGCTGAGATATGAAAAATACCATCAACTTTCTTTGCACCTGAAGGAGTCCCAGCTGGGAGAATAGAAGGAGAGGGCACGGATTTGGGAATTTCAGGGGCCAGTGCCAAAGCAGCTGGAGCCACAGGGCAACTTTCAGAGGCTGTAGGAACCAAAGGTAAAGTAGTAAGAGTGGAAGTACCATTCTTAGCTGGGTGGTTTTTAGGCGCTAAAGAGACAGTTCCTTCTAGGCTGGCTGTAGTTGTAGGAGTCGAGGTACCTTTGGCAGTTGTAGGAGTCACCCCAGCAGGGTCAGAATTTTCCAAAGGAAAAGCAGTCATTGTTGTGGTAGTGAGAGAACTTTTGAGAAGCAGACTATCTGGGTCTGGATTTGCATAAGGATCTGTATTGATTATAGAGGTTGGGGAGTTAACACTCTGGGGAGATGGAGCAGCACTGGCCAGCTTACCTATGGGGAGGGGCCCTGCAAGGCTTTTCTTTGCTAGGGTAGCGTCAAGAGAAAGAGACATCTCCAGAGATGATGATGAACTTTGGGGAGAGGGGAAATTTTTAGAGGCTGCCAGGGTCAATGGTGGTAGACTAGAGTCTTTTTTGGTAGGGAGTCCTGCCTGGGCTGGAAAAATAGAAGCTCCTACTGGAGAGCCAGGTACAGTTTGGAGATCTTTTTGTGTTGGGAATTTTGCCAGTACTGAAGTAGGGAGATTTTTGAGGTCTTCAGGGTCTGGCAGAGGAGGAGAAACTGGTATCCCCAGAGTGGTTGCTACTTGAATAGGAAGCTCTTTGGGTGTCACAGGTGCCATAACCAGGGTAGCAGGGGAAGTTGGTTTTTTACTATGCATGAGACCTGATGAAATTGGAGGAGAGACACAAGTAGCTACCTCAAAGGAAATAGATGCTGCAGAAATTGTAGAGGGGTTAGTCATCACAACTGGGGTGGTTCCAACAGAAGAAACAGTAATTTCTTTCAAGCCTGGACTTTCTGGTGAAACAGGAATCTGGGCGACCAAAGGCTGAGTAGTGGCATTAGGAGAGCCTTTGAGAGAGGCTGTAGGAGATAATGAAGAAGTGGCAGCTACATCTGGGGAACCAGAAGGGTTATAGGTCATGCTAGTGATGGTAGAGGGGCCTTTGTCAACAGCCAGAGGAAAAGCTGGAGCCACCAATGGAAGAGCAGCCACAGCAACAGGAACTACCTCATTTCTGGAAGGAAGGGGAGGAATTACAGATCTCTGAGAAGGATAAGAGGCCCCCATGTTAGAATGATCTACAGAAATGGTATTTACTGTAGGATCTGACAGAGCATTAGGACCTGTCTGACTTAAAGGTTGGACAGGAGAACCAAAAGAACTCTGCTGTAAAGAGCCCAAAGAAGTGGGAAAAACCGGGGGGATGTTGGGAGCCACAGTCTTTTTAGAAGAGGTCACCACAGGCATAGACTGGGCTGAAATAGATAAGGCAGCAGGTGGACTAACAGGCCCCTTTAGGTTGAAGCTTCCTGGGTTTTGTGGAGAAGTAGGAGCTGAGGAAATGGGGGTACCTCTGACCCGAGGGGAAGTGATGGCTAGGGAAGTAGTAGGTGGTGGTGTCTGAGGACAGCAGGCTACTCCAGATTGTACAGAGGCCAAGGGAGTTATAAGGTGGGAAGGAACAGCACTGACTCTACCTGGAGGACTTGGGATACCTTCTGGATTAGGGACTACCTGAGAGGGAACTTGAATAGAAGTCTGTTCTGAGAGAACAGTGGGAGCTGACAGAGATATCACTGACCCTGACTCGGCTACAGCGGAAGGAGGTGAAGTAAGTGGGTTAGGTGGAAAAGCAGAACTCTTTTGAACTGAGTGGGGAGCCAAGGCAACCAGAGCCAAGGGAACTGAAGAGGAATGGGCCCCTTTCAGAGTTGGAGCTATCATGGGAGAGGCTAGAGCTAAGGCAGCTGGGGAGATGGGAGGCCCTATTAGGTTTGGTAGGAAAGTTGGGGTGTCAGAGGCATTTCCCAAAGGCAGGGCTGACCCAGAGGATGACTGGGGAAAAGGAATTTCAAAATGTGTTGAGGCAGTAGTAGAGGGGGAAGGGAATGGGGAAGGCTGGTTAGCAGTTGCCAGAGGGCATTGTTGGGAGGCCAGGGAGCGAGGAGAGGGAAGAGTAGGTAGAGGCTGCCCTAAGGCAGCAGTGACATTCAAGGCTGAAGACATGGGAAGCATAGCTGGAGGAGAAAAGCAAAAAAGATAAAGAAGGGAAGAGGAAAAAAAATTGAGTTATATGGCCCAACTTGGTACACATGCCTCATAGGAAACACCGGAGTTTTAAATCTGAGAATAACGCGTCACCACAGAGGATTAGACAAAGGTGACAGGCAATACCAACAACCTTCCCCAAACATTTTTTGGTGGTCAAGTAAAAAGACATCCCTCTAATCTGCCACGCTCCCCAAGTTCTACCAAAACAAACCAACTATTTTAGGGTAGGGAGAACAGTATAAGAGCAGCCTATCTCTAAATGGGGAGCACAGGCTCTAGAGTGAGTTGGACACAATATGCTTGCTTCCTACCCTTTCCCAGTTGTGCCCTACCGTTGCCTCCCCAAATGGACCCCATTCCCAAGTCTTTCTCACAGCCAATATAATTACCACTAAACAGCTATGCTACTCCATCCACCCAAAGATCATGGACTAACTGAAACAGATACTGAAAATTGAACAAGGAAGGTAGTGAACAGTGATAATGACGGGGAATCAGAGCTGAATGAAAAAAACAAGTTTTTACACTCTCAGGCTTCCACTACATTAGGAAAAATCTGACTCTTAGAATAAAGTTTTAGGAAGGGAGTACCTGGCACAATTCAGTTTTTCCTAAAGTTGAAACTCTTCAAAATTTAATACTGAGTCACTTAGCCTCCTTATACCTCACCAACGTTTACTTATTCAACAAAACAAAACCACAAAAGGGTCAGACCCAATAGTCTCTACAGACCTTCATAGGTAATGTTAGCTCTTCAGACATTAATCCGATGAATTAGACCTCCAGGGAGAAAGCATAGTCAAAAGGGTAGCGACTGAATCATGAAACTGTAACCCAACTTGTTAAATCAGACTGTAGTTCTATTTTGGAAGCAGAGAATTGGATGGAGAGAATAAGAATACACTGGATCCCCAACTCCCTAATCTGGATAAGTATTTCATTCTGTCAAAACAGACTAATATTTGGCACTATAGTAAAACGTTTTCTGAATGATGAAAAAAATACCACGTCTGTCATTCAGGAGATATAACACAGGATTAGATCAACACATGCTCAATGCCTGCAAGGGAGTGTTTAACGGAAAAAAAAAAAAAGCCCATAGCATCCAAATTTACCATTCACTCAACAATAATTCTGAAGTTTTTATAGTATCCTGCTATAGAAGACAGGTGGTTCAACCAGTTTTTCCTGGAGAGTTGGTAGGTCAAAGTCTCCCGATTACAGAACAAGTACTTTCAAATTTGTTAGTCAGAATTTAAAACATGGAATACGTTTTCTTCTGACTGGACCTCAAGATGGGATAAGGCTCAAATTACTTGATTTGGCACCATGACCAATTTTCCTGAGCTAGCTTTTACATTCGTTCAAGCAGACCATTTAATTATAGTTACAGACAAAAATCCTGTGTATTTATCACAGGTACTCCCTTAATATATAAATTATATACTATACAAACTCAGACTATTTAGGAATACATTTAACAGCATTAAGGATTGCTGGATAAGTAAATGGCATTAGTTTTGAAGCTTGAATCAAATTTTTCCAAATTCATCTGAATTCCAGGCTCCATATTTGCAAAATTGTTCAATGACACCTCTAAAATCTTGTTTAGCACTGAAATTACAGGATCTTCAGAGACCAGTCCCTTTTTCCTTTCCTTAAGCCGCCTGTATTTCAAGGATTTCATTTTGGTCATACCGCAGGTTAGGGGGCCCCCTCCTTTCTCTTTGCTAGCAGCTGTATTAATCCCTTCAGCTGCTAAAATCAGACAGGTGGGAAGGCAGAATCTTCATGCTTTCAAGTATAAACAGTTCTATTTTAACTCCAAAAGGGGACAGAAATTGCCCTTAAGTAACAATTAAAAAAAAAATTTCCATTAAAAAAAAAGGTGAGGATGGAGATTACAGCCTGAAGATTCCCTTCATTTCGCTCTGCATAACTGACTCAGAAAGACTATCCCTTTGAAACTTTTTCCACTACCTCTTAAGTTTTCTACTGAGATATGTTTTAATCAGAATTCAAAACTTGCCTTCACGCTACATTCTATTTCCATTAATTTCAACACATAAGATCAAAGGATTTATTTCAATCCTGGGTTCCAGACAATGGAACCCAGCACACTAGAAATATCTCAGCACCAACCCCTAAAACAACTTAACTGACAGAGGTGGACCTGGGGCCCAGTAGGACACATTTACCACCAGCACACATCTCATCCAGACATGTGATGAAGGCACAATGCCAAGCTTTCCTATCTAAAACCTTGATGCAACTTGCTGGCTACAACTTCACAAATGCTCACGTCTCCTTGGCCTGTCTGTGTGTCATCCAGTTCCAATAGGTAAGCATCACTGAACCCCTTCCTTGCTCAGTTTTCCTACAAAAGGTGGGGGGTTCCACACCAGAGCTTCCTTTGAGGCAGTAGGCATAACACACAAAACAGGCTAGGGAACTCTTAATCTCCATGAACCTTAAAAATATAATTTTGTATCCCATTCCCCTAAATAAGTTCCTCCGAAATAGTAGTTAATTTTACGGTCTATCCCTCCTGGTAAGTTGCAACCCTATCCTCTTTAAGAAGAGGTAAATCTAAAAGACACAGTGTATTTACCCTTCATCACTTTATCCACCAAATGGCCTTAGACTCAATATTAATTAAGGCAAGGGGGCTAGGGGAACCTACCTGTCTCAGCCTGAGGCTGTGGCAACTCCTGCTCTGTAGCAGGGACGGTTTCTGTGGCTTCACCAGGCATTTCTGAAGGGAATAAAAAGGAGGCCTGAATTGGCTGGGATGCATTCACTTGCCCAATCCAGAGTTAAGTATTCTTAAAAACTCTGCGGAGGGCTGTTAGGAAAAAAATCAAGAGGCTGTCTGGGGACAACCCCCTCCCAAAGAACCTGGGTATAGGTGGGAAATATGACGTGATCCTCCAATCTCTATCAAGCGAATCCTCTCTTACCGAGCCTCTTCGCTCGGCAGCGAGCGACTCCCCCTGCCCAAGATTCGTTTTCTTCACACTCCAAATCCCACAAGGCCAGCAATAACCACTCCGTTCTCAACTCAAGGAGGATCTCGGTCTGGCTCCCGACCATGGGAGACTTCAAACGCTCCCTTAAACCCCCACCCCTCCTAACATTCACAATGACTGGGCTGGGGCCTCCAGGAGTACCGTCTGTCGACTTCTGGCAGCCAGGAAGGGAAAGAGGGTGCCTTCAGTCCCAATACTTGCTTGTCACAGTAAGAACGGTGATGGGGTTCTAAGGCTGTGACCCCTTAATCTCCGCATCTCGTGAAGCCATTCCCAACAGCAGACGCACTCCGCTTCCTCCCCCAACGCTGTAACTGCTCCTGCCTCTCCAGGCCTGGATTCCGGGCCCGGCCCGCAGCCCTTCTGCCCTGCTTTTGCCAAGACACCAATCGCAGACCCCATTTTGTCAGGAGACCTAGGGGCGATTGAGAATCCTGTGGCCCCATAAGGCCTCCAACTCTCTATAACTCTCAATCCCCAGGGCGGTTTAGCTCGAAAGAAAGGCGGATGGCTGAGGATAGAAAGCAGAGGCGCAGAAAAAACTTACTGTGCAAGGAACGCGGAACCAAGATGGCGGCAGAAAGAGAGCGAGCGAGAGCGTGACCCACGCCTGTTGCAGAAGGAAGCCTGGCGCGGAGGGGGCGGGACTAGGATCTCATTCCGGGTCAAGAACTGCCAGCAGCCGCTTCCTTTAACGAATGACCAGTCCGGCTGTTCCCAGGGCGGGGGTGGTGACGAGTCTAAATAAGGGTAAGAATTTAGAACAGGACGCTCTGGCCTGGCAGGAACTCTCTGCGCCTAGCCACGCAGTCCTCAGATAGCCGACCCCTTCCCTCCCAGCGGGTAACCGTGAGAAAAGCAAGCTCCGCCTCCCGGTGCGCAAAGTAGCGACAGCAGTAATGAAGGCGATGTCTCGATATCCCTTTGTCAAATAATGCGGGAAAATATGAGACATTAAAAAATAGTGACTGCCATAGAGACTGTATTCACACCGTTGAAAGGAGGAAGTGACCTAGGCTAACCCTCAGTTATTTTATTTTTGGAATATATGATTCAAGCCGATGTTAAGATTATGAAACGGTAGATTCCTGCCCCCAGAGAAAAAGATCATAGGCATATACACAATTCTTTTGCCTGCTCTTTTGGGCACTAGTTTTATGTCGTGAAACTCATTCATTCTAGGTTTCCAGGACCTCACCTTAAGAACCTACACTTTGTACTGTAGGATTCTTGAAAACAAGAATGTATAAGCAGTCTGGGTTAATGAAAAGACTGATTCCCATACTCTCCCTCAGCCCTACAAAAGGACTCAACAAATATGTATTGTGCTTGAATTAACTTAAACCAGTTAACACTATTTGATCTAATGGCTTTAAGCCATTGTAGCTGCCTTTTAAGAGAAGCAGTGAAAATTTAAAATGCTCTGAAAGCTACTTTAAAATATCAGATTTTTAACATAGTGAAGATTAGGATTACTGAATTATTTGGATTGAGATTGTGGAGTTTACCAAGAATGGGAAATTTTGAAATCCTCCTCACATAGGAGAGGAATTATGGAATGATTAAGAAGTCAAACTTCTTTGTCTGAATCTGGTCACCTCAGGCAGTTTAATTAACTTATTTTTGCCTCAGTTTCCTCATCTGTAAAATGGGGGAAATAGTAGCTACTTGGTAGAATAGAAAGATTAAATTAGGTAATATATGCACATTATGTAAAAAGTGTTTATTGTTGTATTACAATTGTAGATAGAATTTCTACCTAAGTAAATATGTGATCTGGAAGATTTTCAATGCAGTCCATTTACCTTCAGAAGAACCAGAAATAGCCAATCATCTTGGACAAAACTACTATTGACCATTCCCCTTTCTTCTCCAGCAAGCCCCCTGACTTTTTCCTCTGTTGTACTAGCCAAGGAAGGATGAATTTTATATTTCTTTGGGTTTCTTTATAAATTGGCATGTTTGGAGATGGCCCTTTGTTTTTGCAATTCTGCTACACCAGTGAATTGGCAAATCAGGGAAAAAGGAAGTCAGTAGTCTTTGAGCATGTTTTCGCTCTCTTCAAGAACTAAACATTTATTATTTTTTAAGACAGTCTTGCTCTGTTGCCTGGGCTAGAGTGCAGTGACGTCATCATGGCTCACTGCAACCTTAAACTACCGGTTGATACTATAGGTGCATGTCACCATGTCTGGCTAACTTTTTTTTACTTTTTTGTAGAGATGGGGTGTTGCTATGTTGCTCGGGCTAGTCTTGAACTCCTGACCTCAAGCAGTCCTCCTGCCTCAGCCTCCCAAAGTGCTAGGATTATAGGTGGGAGCCATAGCACCTGGCCCATTTATTCTTTTTAATGAGCACATGTTCTGTAATTAATAATATTATGGCAAGTATGCCAGCTTTTATCTAAGGGCTTTAATATTAAAACATTAATATAAAACCATAATGAAAGCTTAATACATCTCTTGTTGAAAGCATAATACCAGTTTTTCCACTCTCATTCTGAGTTCTTTTTTTAACATTGTTTTTTAACTTTTTTTTTTTGCCCCAGGCTAGAGTGCCGTGGCACCTGCCTAGCTCACAGCAACCTCAACCTCCTGGGCTCAAGCAATCCTCCTGCCTCAGCCTCCCAAGTAGCTGGGACTACAGGCACGCGCCACCATGCCTGGCTAATTTTTTCTATTTTTAATTGTTTAGCTAATTTCTTTCTATTTATAGTAGAGACGGGGGTCTCGCTTTTGCTCAGGCTGGTCTCAAACTCCTGAGCTCAAGCACCTCGGCCTCCCAGAGTGCTAGGATTACAGGCTTGAGCCACCACACCCGGCCGAATTGAGTCTTTAGTAATTTGTATTCAGGAGTTTTATTGACCCATTGTTTTTAGAACCTGAAGACTAAGTAATCCATATTACACAGAAGCTCAAATAGTGAGGAGTTTTATATTTGCCTTTAATATTTTTTCTTAAAAAATAGAGAAGGAGGAAGAAATACAAAGCACTTCAATGTGTCAGCTGCATTATAGTCTGTTTTATATAAACCAAAAGAAAAAACAATGTAAAAGGAAATGCAAAGGAAGGAAAATTTTCATTAAGACGAGGAAAGCACCAGACTGACAGCTGTGTCTCAATGTTTCTCAGGAGACAGAATGTAAACTACAATGACTGTTTGTTAAGCTTGGTTGTAAAACCAGGCAAGAGAAATCTGACACATTAGAATCCACACAAAATCAAAGAAAGAAAACTTAAAATTTAAGGACCTAGATATGTAAAAAGTTCAAGCATTTTGACGAGTATAACATATTTTATTTTGGTGAAGTTGCTTATTTTTTTCTAAGCCACTTCTTCACTGTAGACTCTCTGAGGAAAAAAGTTAGTTATAAAAAACACTCTACTAGGCCTAATATTGTTAATCTAGTAACTCATATCTTTGAAGTTTTGGTAGGTTTAGATGCCTAGTTTAAAATGATTTTAAAAAAATGGCCAGTGGAGTATGGCCTGACCAATAAAAATATCAGTAAGCAAAACCAGGAAGTTACTGAATATATGCTCCAGGTATAACTAAGTGTCTAAAACTCCTGGTATAATTATGTGACAAAGCCCCCATTCACCCAGAAATATGGAGGTTGTATCCAGTGAGCTGAGCTGAGAGTCTCAGGCATATTACTGCTCACTTACCTCTATATACAGCAACTGGTAGAACTGAACATATCAGAAGTCTTAGAACTATCTTTGTATAATATTAAATTTTACAAAATTATCTGCAATCCATTTATTCCTTTTACTGCTTCTTCCAGATACCTTGATACTCTCCTTTGGTGTTCTCAGGAAATCTTTTCAACATCAATTATTTCTCAAGAAAAGAGGTTTTACTTTGAGCATTAACACACATACATGGTTCTGATATATTAAGTGGTTCTAGAAGTATTTGATCCTTGATTAAAGGTAGAAGATATCCACATTGGTTTGAAGGCAGTTGTTATCTTCAGAAATCTTTTTGTAAATCTAAAATAGAATAGATATTTATCAAAGGATAGCAAAACAAAACAATGCCCATTTATTTTGATATTCTTTTTCTTTTTTTTGAGACAGGGTCTTGCTCTGTTGCCCAAGCTGGAGTGCAGTGGCAAGATCATAACTCACTGCAGCCTTGAACTCCTAGGCTCAAGCAATCCTCTTGCCTTGGCCTCCCAAAGTGTTAGGATTATAGGCATGAGCCATCACACCTGGTCTATTTTCACGTTTTTTGGGGACAGGGTCTTACTGTGTCTCCTGGGCTAGAATGCAGTGGTGTCATCAAAGCTCACTGCAACCTCCAACTCCTGGGCTCCAGTGATCTTCCTGCTTCAGCCTCCCAAGTAGCTGGGACAACAGGTACGCACCAGCACACCTGGCTAATTTTTCTATTTTTTGGAGCGATGGGGTCTCACTCTTGGGCTGGGTCTCAAATTCATGGCTTCAAGCAATCCTCCTGCCTTGGCCTCCTAAAATGCTAGGATTACAGGGGTAAGCCATCACACCTGGCCCTGTTTTCACATTCTTATTTGCTTAATGCTTCCATTAAACTCACATCACGTACAAAGCTTTGTTTACACATTTGCTAAAGCCCACATTGTAGGCTGAGCTAGTATGGAACAACTAGAATACAAAGTACTTCATATGGCTAGTTGGAGTGGCAGCTTCGATGAGGCTTTCCAAGTTCAGAGTCATCATTGTTCATTCAATAAGCACATATTTGAGTGTCTACTATGACTAGAGCATTATCGTAGCCACTATTCCTTAAACCATCACACATCACTTCATTAAAAAATGAAGTGGAGAGAGAGTCTGTATTTCTATAACATTGCCACAGTTTTCTAGGGTATCCATCAATCTCTTGAATAATATGCACTCTGCTCATTTTCTTCCTTTTGGCTTATACATATACTCAGGTTTCTCCTATTCAAAGAACTCTTCATTTGACACTGCTATCCTCTTTGCATTTCTAGTTACTATAGTCAACAGGATTTTATCAGTTCTTTCCTGCATTTGACACTTGATAATCTCTTTGAAACTTGCCTTTCCCCTGGTGTCTGTGACACTTTACCTTCTGTCTTTCATCTCCCCACTTCTTTTTATTATTTATTTATTTTTTACACATCAGATGAGTAATGTGCCAATGCCTAACAAGGTTTGAGGGAGACACATCTCACACGAGTGTGAAAACCCAATCATCACACTTATAAACTATAGAAGGATCCATCTCTCCACTTCTAAATCATTACCAAGTTTTAAGGATGGTTCCGGTATTTGTACCTTTTGGAGCACTCCAGTGCTACTGCCCTAATGGCAATAGCTCAATTGGCCTTTTGGGCTCCATTCTATCCCCTGCCTTTCCCCAGATTTATCTTTCTAGATAAAAGTACAAATCATGGCACTCTTTTCCTCAAAACCATTTTTTTTTCTTGAGATAGGGTCTCACTGTGTCACCAGGGCTAGAGTACAGTGGTGTCATCATAGCTCACTATAACCTCAAACTTGTGAGCTCAAGCGATCCTCCTGCCTCAGCCTCCCGAGTACCTGGGACTACAAGGTGTGTGCCACCATGTCCAGCTTCCTTCCTCAAAACCTTTAATAGCTTCTCTGTTCCTACTGAATTAAGGCCAAACATCTAAGTCTGGAATTCAAAGCCATCTATACTTTGGCTTCAGCCTGCTTCTTCAGCTTCATATCTCATCACTTTCTAACGTGTTTTTCCAGATTAGCCATACTACTTTTTGCTTCCAGAGTGACCTGATGCTTTCCTGTCTCTCTATGCCTTTTTTCTCGCTGTTCCTTCAAGAATGAACAACTGATCTCCGTTTTCCACTCCTGCACCCTTATGCCATCAAATCTCTCCTTGTGAAAATCCTACTCATACCTCAAAGCATGGTATATTGGCATTGGGATTAGAATTTTTTTTTTTTTTTTGAGACAGAGTCTCACTCTTTTGCCCGGGCTAGAGTGAGTGCCGTGGCGTCAGCCTAGCTCACAGCAACCTCAAACTCCTGGGCTTAAGTGATCCTCCTGCCTCAGCCTCCCAAGTAGCTGGGACTACAGGCATGCGCCACCATGCCCGGCTAATTTTTTTTGTATATATTTTTTTTAGTTGTCTGATTAATTTCTTTCTATTTTTAGTAGAGATGGGGTCTTGCTCTTGCTCAGGCTGGTCTCGAACTCCTGAGCTCAAACAATCCGCCTGCCTCGGCCTCCCAGAATGCTAGGATTACAGGCGTGAGCCACCGCGCCCAGCCGGGATTAGAATTCTTATCGCAGCTCACTGAAAATAGTTCACATACCACCCTTTTCATATGAAATCTCAGATTTAACCAGATGATATCTCTTTCTTAGCATTTTGTACTTTTTTGTCTTATACCAAGTTAGCACTTCTTAAGGGCAAGGGGGTGTGGTGTGGAATTCATCTTTGTATAATTAACCTTTGTTTCTCTCATAGTACTTGACATTTAGAACATGTTTAATAAATATGTTTAATTGAATTAAAAAAACTCAATTTTGAAAAACATTAAGGATAATAAGACAAATCAGTAATTTTTTTGGAGAGGGCAAAGAAACACTAGAACGCAAAAATTGCTCATTTGGCTGGGTATAGTGGCTCATGCCTATAATCCCAGCATGCTGGGAGGCTGAGGCAGGAGGATCACTTGAACGTAAGAGTTCAAGACCAGCCTGGGCAACATAGCATGACAACCCATCTCTACAAAAAATTTAAAAAATCAACTATGTGTGGTGGCCTGTAGTGCACCTGTAGTCCCTATTCCCAGCTACTTGGGAGGCTGAGGTGGGAGGATCACTTGAGGCCAGGAGTTCGAACAACACAACTGTTGCCTGGGCAACACAGCGAGCCTGTTTCTAAAAAAAAAAAAAAGGAAAAAAGTGGTCATTTGCTGGATGCTTAACGCTACTTATACTAATATCTAACTAGATAAACGGGAAAGGCATAGTCTTACCACTTTTCTTAAGAAGTTCTCCTTTTCGGGATTTGTCCAGGTTTTCAAGAAACTGTTCAAAAACTTTCACATAAGGTGCTAGACTGGTCTTCTTATAATCTAAATTATGAAGAATATATATTATAATCAGCATGTTGGCAGCAAGAATAACATGAAAATATAATTTTAAGTTTCTTGTAAGAATTCTCTAAAATAGTGCTATACCTAATAGAAATATGAGAGACATATGTACTTTTAGATACTCTAGTAGTCACATTAAAAAAAGGTAAAATTGGGCCAGGCGTGGTGGCTCACGCCTGTAATCCTAGCACTCTGGGAGGCCGAGGTGAGAGGATCGCTTGAGGTCAGGAGTTCAAGACCAGCCTGAGCAAGAGCGAGACCCCATCTCTACTAAAAATAGAAAGAAATTAGCCAGACAGCTAAAAATATATAGAAAAAATTAGCTGGGCATGGTGGCGCATGCCTGTAGTCTCAGCGACTCAGGAGGCTGAGGCAGAAGGATTGCTTGACCCAGGAGTTTGAGGTTGCTGTGAGCTAGGCTGATGCCACGGCACTGTAGCCTGGGCCACAGAGTGAGACTCTGTCTCAAGAAAAAGGTAAAATTAGGCCAGGTACAGAGGCTTATACCTGTAATCCCAGTGCTTTGGGAGGCTGAGGTGGGAAGATAACTTGAGGCTAGGAGTTTGAGACCAGCCTGGGCAACATAAGGAGACCTGTCTGTTTGAGGCTGCAGTGAGCTATGATTGCATCACTACACTTCAACCTGGACAACAGAGGAAGACCCTGTCTCTAAGAAAAGAAAAGTGAAATTAATTTAATAAGATCTTTAACTCAATATATCTAAAATATTATCATTTCAACATGTAATAAAAATTGAGATATTTTACATTCTCTTTTATACAAGTCTTTGAAATCTAGTATATGTTTTATACTTAAAGTACAGCTCAATTCGGGTGCTATATTACAATCAGAAATACTTGACCTATATTTAGATTTTTTTTTTTTTTTTTGAGACAGAGTCTCACTCTGTTGCCCTGGCTAG